CAGGAGCAAAGAGGAAACCACAGTTCAAACTTACGTAAGGAGAATCAACAATCAGCTGTTATATTTGATAAGGAGGAAGAAGACCTGTAAACGTTTTCTTCTACCTTCATTGGACCTTTTGTTGTTGTGATCTGTGATGAACTAAGTTTGATGATCTAGCTATCTTAGCTGTGTCTCTCTATGTATAACAATGTGGCTCTAACCCTAAGGTTAGGGTTAGGGTTAGGTTTACCTCCTGAAAGAGATTGATGGTCTATGTCTCCCTCCTCCTGTCAGGATGGAGCCTGATGGGGCCCAGTGGTTGGAACCAGGTCTGAGGAAATGTAAGTGTCCCGTCACTCATTCAAGCATCACCATCCAAGGGTCAATAAATGATCTGTGTTTGTTTTGTCCATCAGATTCCTGTCAGCTCACCTTCGATGCAAACACAGTGAACAGGAAGCTGAAAGTGTCTGAAGACAACAGGAAGGTGACCCGTGTGGCGGATCTGCAGCCATATCCTGACCATCCAGACAGATTTGATGTTCGTCCTCAGCTCCTCTGTAAAGACGCTCTGACTGGTCGATGTTATTATGAGGTGGAGATCGGAAAAGGTGTTGATATATCGTTAAGCTACAGAGGAATTGGGAGGAAAGGAGACGGCAGTGACTGTCGATTTGGAATGAACGACATTTCCTGGAGTTTGATCTGCTCTGAGCGCCATGGTAACTGTCTCTGGAGCAATAAGTCGGGGACATCCATCTCGTCCTCCTCCGTCTCCAACAGAGTAGCGGTGTATGGACTGTCCTGCTGGAGCTCTGTCCTTCTACAGAGTGTCCTCTGATTCGCTGATCCACCTCTACACCTTCAACGCCTCATTCACTCAACCTCTCTATCCTGGATTCGCCGTCTTTTCTGATTCCTCTGTTTCTTTAACCTGAAGACCTGAGAAAACCTGTCCTCTCCTTCCTGCTTTTACTCGCTCAGCTTTACTGTTTCAGAGAACGCTAAAAGGAGAAAAAAGATGGATTTTACATTCAACAAATCGTAGCAGCTACTATTGTTGCACTGAGCTTGACTGTGGTTTGTGAAGTGTTGTTGGTGTTTGTCTCTTGCTGAAGACTGAACTGCTTCAGGCTCTTTAGAGAAACACCAAAATGTTTTCAGCTCATTAAGTGGAAACTGTTTAATCTTTTACATCCTCTTTCCCTGATGCATACATTCCCCTAAAACACTTTTTACATCCATGTTCTCTTTTTTGTTTTGTTCTTGTAAATGTTTTTCAAACTTTCATAATTTTTGCAATTATTTAGTTTTATTTTCCATAATCAATCTAAACTCTAATGTAACTTGAGAAAATGAACAGAATAGTAAATGGCGTGAAAAAGGAGTTATTAATCAGAAGTTTTTATATGATATATACTTACATAAATATTATGTTAGAAAGTCCTGTACAACTTACACAATTTCTATTTTTGTTTGTTTCTCTTTATCAGTAAATATGAGAGTCTATCAATGCATAATTATGTGAAATGTTGCCGTTTTCAACCATAATCCTTTATAATTTTCTAATATGTAAAAAAATTAATCCATGTGAAAACTTCACATTATCAACTATTTATTTTCAATTTATGAAAACTGCACTGAAATGAAGCGATTTATGGATGAATATTTTTAAATTACCTATAGATAATTATTCTCCTTGAATTGAATTTTCAGTTTCTTTACAAACTAACACTGGATTGATCAATGAGTCTCTTCTCACTCATTGATCACCTCTCCACCTTCAGCGCCTCATTCACTCATTCACTCAGCCTCTATCCTGGATTTGCAGTTTTTCTATTTTCTCTCTTTCTGTAGTCTGAAACCTTTTAACAAAATCTTCTTTTAAACACTTTTTACATTCATGTCCTCATTTTGTTTTGTTCTCATATTCTCAGCTATTTTTCTTTTACTTTCCCTAAATATCTGAACTCTTAAATGTAGTTTATTCAGGCAAAGTTGCTGTTCTATAGAACTGAAGAAAATGAAGTTTGTGATTTTTTATTTGTATGTGAACAAACACAAATAAAAAATGTTTGAATACAGTAAATCATAAAGTGTCATGATTTGAGTCTTTTCTGTGTTTATTTTGGGTTTTCGTGTCTTTCGGTGTCTTGTCTCCCCTTGATTGTTCCCAGGTGTGTCTCATTCCCTGATCACCCGCTGTGTGTTTAATGTATTTCTGTGTCTTTGTCCAGTGGTTTGTGCAGTCCCAGTCTGTCTGTGTTGTCCCAGTCTGTCTGCATTGTCCAGTCTGTCTGCATTGTCCAGACTGTCTGCGTTGTCCAGTCTGTGTGTTGTCCCAGTCTGTCTGCGTTGTCCAGTCTGTCTACGTTGTCCCAGTCTGTCTGCGTTGTCCAGTCTGTCTGCATTGTCCAGTCTGTCTGCGTTGTCCAGTCTGTCTGCATTGTCCCAGTCTGTCTGTGTTGTCCCAGTCTGTGTGTTGTCCCAGTCTGTCTGCATTGTCCCAGTCTGTGTGTTGTCCCAGTCTGTCTACGTTGTCCCAGTCTGTCTGCGTTGTCCAGTCTGTCTGCATTGTCCAGACTGTCTGCGTTGTCCAGTCTGTCTGCATTGTCCAGTCTGTCTGCATTGTCCCAGTCTGTCTGCATTGTCCCAGTCTGTCTGCATTGTCCAGTCTGTCTGCATTGTCCCAGTCTGTCTGTGTTGTCCAGTCTGTCTGCATTGTCCCAGTCTGTCTGCATTGTCCCAGTCTGTCTGTGTTGTCCCAGTCTCTCCCAGTTGCTACCAGTGTTGAGCTTTTGTCTTCTGCTCAGCTGATCTGCCTGGATTTTAGATTTAGAGTTTTCAGTTTTCTTCTTCTTATGTTTCTTCTTAAACTGCCATCATTTATCTCAACCTGAGTCTGCAGCATCCTGCCTCACCACCTACACACAACTTTATGACATAAAGAAGTTCCACAACTGCTAGTTTTGTTGATGTTTTTCTCTGTATGATTCAGTAAAATAATAATACATTTTCGATGCGTAATGATGCACAATGGGGCACATTGTGCATCATTACAATGTCCTCCATTGTGATGATGGAGTGCATCGATGACATCACTTTATCAATGCATGAACATTCTCATTGAATTGCTTTGTAACAGATTTGGTTCTGCAAGGAGCAACCAGAACTGGAGCCGCTGCAGCTTGTCCAACCATGGTGAGTCTGAACCACAGATTCTTCTTCTGTTTCACACACATAATTATTGTAAATTTGTTGTATATCATTTATCGAATAAAACATGCATTGCCTAAAGCAGGGTGTCAAAGTTCAGTCCTTGAGAGCCGCTGTTCTGCAGTTTTATGATGTGCCACACTACAAAAACCCTGGAATGAAATGGTTTAATTACCTTCTCCTTGTGTAGATCAGTTCTCCAGAGCCTTGCTAATCACCTAATTATTCTATCCAGGTGGTGCAGCAGAGACACATCTAAAAGCTGCAGGACACCGACCCTCCAGGACTGGATGTTGACACCTCTGGCCTAAAGGGTCGATGCTCTCTAGTGTCCCAAGTCGTACTGTGTTCAGTGAGCTGAACAGAAATATTCTTTGGAAAAGTCAAGCTCAAGTTTCAATAAATTCTCAATGGTAGTTTTGTGATCTGTTCATAGAAACAGATTCATTTTGAACTCAGCTGTAACATTTTAATGTACAACAGGAGGAACATGTTCCTATTGTGTTTCTGTAATTATTGAGAAATAATAGATTATTTCAGTTATGACTTCACAACTTCAGGATCATCTGTTGACACGTTTAAGAAGGAAATGATTGAAACGTAAGAGCAGGAAGCTGGTTACCAGCTTCCTGGTTGGCCTCCAATCCCCACCAGGAAAATCCTAATGAGCTACAGCTGTAAATACTGAAGGCTTATTGTATGTGGAGAAGCTGTTCCAATCCTTTTACTGTTCTCATAATAAAATAAGAATGTAAGTTAACTTTTAATAAAATAACTTTAACCCCTTTATGGTGGTTTAAAAAACTAAAGTTTTAAGTGTAATATTTACAGTAATATCAACTTTCACAGCCTTTGGTCTCTAGTTTAAAACCTGAGGCTTGTGCACCAACTTATGTTTTCTCTTTCCATGTCGGGTTTTCTCCAGATACTCCAGCTTCCTATTCAGATCTTCTGTGTAAAGTCATTTTTAACTTTTTAACTGTTAAACGTTGTCTGTCCTCACAGAGTTCACAAAGGTCAAGGTGGAGATTTTCACAACAAGAGAAGCAGCTCACCACAAAATGCACAGAATTTTAGGTTTTATTTTTAAGGTTTAACATCAACATGTCAGTCTCCATTTTTGCAATGAATTGAAATGAATTTTGTTCTTCTTTATTAGCTTCTTTATTGGTGCTAAAGAAGAACAAAATTTATTGTTCTTCTGGTGCTATTGTAGAAATATCTCTTCTTTAAACTTCTTCCAAAATTGACATATCGAAGAAAAAAAAGGTTGAACAATTGCAAGCTTGAACACAAACATTTTTATTCTTTAATGAACATGAATCAATCATTCACAGTTTTTATATGCTCTGTATCAAGTCACAAGTTATGACTTGACATCAGGAAAGTCTGAGGCAGCTGTGCAGTAGAGCTAAATGCTGCCCCTGCAGGTGAGTATTAACATCACTTTAATGTTTTAGACAATTTCTTATGAAAATTTTCAGTAAGCATAATTATGCATTATTGTAGAAAAATGTGGGATTATGTTGCTCTTAGATAAATTTCTGTGGCTCTGGAATTGGGAAAAAACAAAAAAAACTGGAGCAGCTGATATGTATGACATCATAGATGGAAGTAAATATTTCACAAGTGAAAGACTTTTTAAAATGAAAAATAAATAAAATCAATGCAAATATTACATTTTCTATGTGGTATATCACAAAAGATATACAGGTTAATTACAGTTTAATACAAACTTAAGAGGCAAATGACACACCACCTTATTATAAGGAGTAAATAATTTAATTACCAAAGAAAGTTTAAATACAGATTCAACAGGTTCGTTTGGAGCATTTGAAGATGTCTCCTCTACCTATTCTTTTTGATCTCATATAGAGGAATATTTTTTTACCGAGTTAATCAAACCACATCCTGTTTGTTTACAGCTGACAGAGAAGAGCAGAGGAATTTAATTTCACCCGTACCCAAAGCCAGCATACAGAGGGTCAGTGAATGTGGCGCTGAAAGTGTGGAGGTGGGTCATGACATCACAAGAGACTCTGTAGAAGGACAGGACACCAGCAGGACAGTCCACATAGACTCCGACACGGCGGGAGACGGTAGGACAGGGAGGAAGAGGAATGGGTGTCCCGCTGTTGTTGTGCCAAGCACTGTATCCTCCATCAGTGCAGGCAAGACACCAAGACTGATCATTCCCTCCAAACTTGGAGCCATCGCTGTCACCATTCCTTCCTATCCCTCTGTAGCTCACTGCAACATAAACCTTTCCAACCCATTCAACCTCCCAGTAACAGCGACCAGTCAAACCAGTTTCACAAAGCACCTGGGGCCAGTAGTCAAATCGTTCTGTGTGATCAGGGTAAGGGTGTTCCCTCCGCAGGTCTGTCACCTTCCTGTTGTTCTCAGACAGCTGGAGGAACTTGTGAGCTGTGTTTGGGTCCAGTGTGAGTTTACAGGACTGAGGAAAAATATGTTCAATACATTGTTTAAAAACTGATCTGACAGAACAAAAAGGTTTGAGGATTAAAAAGCATTTTGCAAACTACTACAAATGAGTAACTTCTTAGACTATGGCAAAAAAAAGCTGATAAATGTGAATAAAAATAATACATTTTCTGAAGTTTGGCTTCAACCACTGGACAGAACCAGGTTCAGCTCTGTAAGGCATAAAGAAAGACACGATCTTCATTTTCTGTACAACAGCAGCAGCAACATTGCTAATGTTTCATTGGTTGTCTGTTTTACTGACATTATTAAATATTCAAGTATTGTTGCTGAGTTACTTCAGGAAAGAGTAAAGAACAAATTAAACTTGCTCAAATGTAGTCCAAGGTAGATAAATCTGTTCCTTGGGTATTTTTGTCCTGCTGAGTTTTTCTGCTTGAACACATCTGATTTAATATTGTCATAAGTTGAATAAATTATTTATTCAGTTGTGCTGGAGCAGAGAGAAGCTTAAAACCATTCAGGACCAGATTGTAGACCTCTGATGCATCCTGTAATTCATTTTCTGAGATGATGAGTCCTAACCTGATGGTGTCCAATCTGCAATCAGGCATCTTTTGACTGACTGACAGCAGTTTGAGTCCAGACTCTCCTGGGTGGTTGTAGCTCAGGTCCAGCTCTCTCAGGTAGGAGGGGTTGGAGGTCAGAGCTGAAGCCAGAGACGAACAGCCTTCCTCTGAGATCAGACAGCCTGAAAGACTGAAGACACAGATAAATCCATTACATAAAGGTAGGAATGATCTGGAAGTGTACATCCAAATGTTCAGATTAAAATTTTGTCTCATGTTCCTGTTTGAACTTATCAATCAGTCACTTTCTTCTGTTTATTCCAGTTTTAAATCATCAACATCTCAACCATCATTTTCAATCCATGAGGAAACCGTACTATTTGTTGAGCTGCAAATAGATATTTAATAGTCAAGCCTTGAGGTCCAAACCTTTTTATCAATTGTGTCAGAAGAGTTTATTTAGAGTTAACTAGACAGGGCCACCCACAATAAACAAATATACAAAGATTTCTGACAAACTGGCTACCAGAGTCGACACAAAATATGATGTGCATCATTGAAATGTTAATCACAGTTTCTACAAGCTCACAGTCGGCCCACGTTCCCACAGTCCTGCTCACATTCAAGCCAAACCAACACTCAGAGAGTGAGGAACACACTGCCAATACAGACACACCCAACCGGGTGTAGATAATGAAGCCCTCATGAATCTCTTCTCAAGAATGTGAAAACAAAGGTTTTAAAGCTGAATACCAACAGAGAATGTGATCTGACCTGAGAGTTTCCAGTTTGCAACATGGACTCTCCAGTCCGTGACACAGTTGCTTTATCCCAGAATCCTCCAAGTCGTTGTTACTGAGGTCCAGTTCTCTCAAACTAGATGACTGGGAACCGAGAACTGAGGACAGAGCTTCACAGCTTCCTGCTGACAGGTTACAGCCACTCAACCTGAAAACCAATATGTTACGTTTACAATGAAACATATCACCACCAATACAACCACATTCCTGTGAAGGTGTTCAGACAAGATGTAAATAGACATCAACTTTCACAACTGCTCTCAAACAGTCTCAATAAAGAATTGGGCTCATTCTAGAGCAGGTAAATGTGACAAACAAATACTTATACATTTCTAATTATTTGTACTAGGTTCCTTTATGAAGTTGTTGATAAGGATTGTGACATTTCTATAATAAAACAAGTATACTCACACAGCTTTCTTAGCAGCTTTAACCACAGGCAGCAGTCTGAGAAGAGCCTCTTCTGAAGCTGAGTATTTCTTCAGATCAAACTCATCCAGAGCTTTTCCAGATGACAGTAAGATGAAGACCAGAGCCGACCACTGAGCAGGAGACAGTTTATCTGTGGAGAGACTTCCTGATTTGAGGTACTTTCTGATCTCCTCTTGTAAGGAACAATCCCTGAGTTCATTCAGACAGTAGAACAGGTTGATGCTTTTATCTACTGACACATTGTTACTGATCTTTTGCTTTATGTACTGAACTGTTTGCTGGTTTTTCTGTAGGCTTCTTGTCTTCTCTGTCTGGAGACCATGTAGAAGTTTCTGATTGGTCTGCAGTGAAAGACCCAGGAGGAACCGCAGAAACAAGTCCAGATGTCCATTTGGACTCTGTAATGCCTTGTCCACAGCACTCTGATGTAAATTAGCCAGTTTTGATTTCTTTTCTTCTGTCTCACATTCTTCAAGCAGATTGACTCCAGAGTTGATGAAGGTCAGATGAACATGAAGAGCAGCCAGAAACTCCTGAACACTCAGATGGATGAAGCAGAACACCTTGTCCTGGTACAGACCTCTCTCCTCTTTAAAGATCTGTGTGAAAACTCCTGAATACACTGAGGCTGCTCTGATATTGATGCCACACTCTGTCAGGTCTGGTTCATAGAAGATCAGGTTTCCTTTCTGCAGCTGATCAAAAGCCAGTTTTCCCAGAGACTCAATCATCTTCCTGCTCTCTGGACTCCAGTGAGGATCAGTTTCAGATCCTCCATCATATTTGATCTTCTTCACTTTAGTCTGAACCACCAGGAAGTGGATGTACATCTCAGTCAGAGTCTTTGGCAGATCTCCTCCCTCTGTGGTCTTCAACATGTCCTCCAGGACTGTAGCAGTGATCCAGCAGAAGACGGGGATGTGACACATGATGTGGAGACTTCTGGACGTCTTTATATGGGAGATGATCTTGTTTGCCTGCTTTTCATCTCTGAATCTCTTCCTGAAGTATTCCTCCTTCTGGGGGTCAGTGAACCCTCTGACCTCTGTCACCATGTCAACAAACTTTCCAGGGATCTGATTGGCTGCTGCAGGTCGTGTGGTTATCCAGAGGAGAGCAGAGGGAAGCAGTTCCTTCCTGATGAGGTTTGTCAGCAGAACATCCACTGAGCTGGACTCTGTAACATCAGTCAGGATCAGATTGTTGTAGAAATCCAGATTAAATCGACTTTCATCCAGACCATCAAAGATGAACAGAACCTGAAACGATTCAAAGTTTCTGATTCCTTTGGTTTCAGGAAATAAATGGTGAATCAGTTCCACCAAGCTGAACTTTTCTTCTTTCAGTAAATTCAGTTCTCTGAAGGTGAATGGAAATATGAACTGGATGTTCTGGTTGGTTTTGCCTTCAGCCCAGTCCAGAGTGAACTTCTGTATTAAGACTGTTTTCCCAATGCCAGCCGCTCCTTTTGTCATCACTGTTCTGATTGGTTGATCTCTTCCAGGTGGGACTTTAAAGATGTCTTCTTGTTTTATTGTTGTTTCTGGTCTGTGTTGTTTCCTGTTTGCTGTTTCAATCTGTCTGACCTCGTGTTCCTGGTTGACCTCTCCAGTTCCTCCCTCTGTGATGTAGAGCTCAGTGTAGATCTGGTTCAGCAGGGTTGGACTTCCTGCTTTAGCGATTCCCTCAAACACACACTGGAACTTTGTCTTCATTGAGGATTTAAGGTTATCCTGACACATGGAAGGAGTTTCTACAAACAAACAAACACATGAGTTCATCTGAGATATGATCACTTGAAAAATATTTTTATTAAAATAGGGCAAAGTAACAAAAAGATTCTACTTTTCAATTATAGAAACATCTATCACTACCCTATCTAACAGCCAAACAGTATTTTGGAAAAGTTTTTTCGATTGCAGGCTCAGGAATATTCCATCAAGAATATTTCTGAGGATGGAGATGTTGGCAGGACGACCTATCAGGAAAGTCAAGGCTATGGTGGACTAGCATGAGATTCTGGCCAGGAAACTGTGGTCACTCCCATTTCAGGAGATGGTTTGGTCTGCAGAGGAGCCTGAACAACATCATCATCTATGGAAACACCTGCAAAATGGTGGTATGAGAATTTTTTTATGTTCCATAAATTGTATGTTTTATACTCTGAAGCTACATTGTGTAACTAATCATGAAGCTCCTGGACAACAGGGGGTCGAGCGCTGATAGGTGAGAGGTCACGCTCTGAATTCGTGGCATTTATTCTGCAGGGTGTGGCAGTGATCTGATTGGGTAACCCGTCTGAGAGCGGGAAATTGGTCATTTCCTGTCTTCCATGCAAAGTCCATTGTTAGTGAGTATAAAGGGGGGGAAGTCCCTCCGTCTGGCAGAGTCTGCTGTGGGTTTCGTACCGACGCCCTGCCATGTGTACGCTGCTCTGCCCAGACTAACGGCTCTCCAGTATTTGTGTAAGAGCAGAACTGTAGGAATTTAAGCATCATGTATTGTTGTGTGAATGAGTTTGCTGTGATCTGTGGCGGAATAAAAGGACACATTTATTCTAGCAGAACAGCGTGTTGTCATTATTTATCACCGATCAACCCGATCCTGTCTACATTTTACAAAACAGAAAGAGTTTAAAGTCTGTGGTGCAGGGAAGCAGTAGCAATTTTGATCAACATTGAGATGTTGTAGCTTCTTCTGACATAAAACCGTATCAGTTTCAGCTAATGTAATGTATTGTTTTAATTTTATTTAAATAGTTATTGGAACTATGCATAAATGTTCAGTAATTCATGCATTTTATGTATTTTTATATTTGTTTCCTTCAAACTGATTTTGTGGTGAACCTTTTCCATGAACTGCTGAGATTCATGCAATCGAAGAAATTAATGCAATAAAGTAATTATTTCTTGGTTAATAAATATTGAGGCATTTTATTTTTACAAAATGTGTTGCATCAACTATTTGACTTAATTGTTTTTCAGTGATTTGGTTGAAAATTGAGATTTGAATAATTATCTTACTGCTCTGCAGGTGCTCGGCCAGTTCCTCCTGATTCATCCTCCTCAAGAAGAAAACTATGATCTTCATCAAAGGTTCTGTGCTGCTCCTCCTCCTCTGCTCGTCATCATCGCCCTGCAGCATCTCCTCATCCTCCTTCTGACTCTCTACGCGTTCTGGATAACCTGGATTCAAAACCTTCTGGATCTTCTTCAGCTCGTTCTTCATAAAAAGGATCATGTTTTGCTCCAGTTCCTGAAAATGAATCCCAGATGATGACAAGTCAGACTGGATCAGAACATCAGGTCCATGTTGGACTGACTGAAGATCCTGGATCTGGTGTAAAAAGAACAGCAGGAAGTTGACTGAGCATAACTGATGTTCAGACCATAAATATGGAGTCCAGCTGTGTTTGATGCTGCTGTGCAGACGGACCAGTGGGAACCTCTGAGCCATGCTGGTCCACTCTGTGGAGGAACCAGGAATAATTTATAAAAAACACGCAACACTGCAGATTTCTTTCAAATTTAATACATTTAAATCTTAAATATTTTAATGTGTTTGTTTTTCCATCAAGACAATGGAATCTTAGATGATTGTTGTTAAAGTTGTTTTGTCAGAATATGCTTTAATTTTTCTCCTTCTGTTTCCAGTTCTTCAACCAATGTTGCTGCTTTTGTTTTTGAAAATCTGCTCCTGTTGGTTAAAGTCTGTCTGAGGAACTGACCTCAGGTCAGGGTGGGATTTCCATCCTCCTGTCTGGCTGCTCCTCAGGGACAAACAACTGTGTTCCGGTTCTGGATCAGAACTTGGTCTTTGGTGGATCAGGGGAGACAAAAGAACATTTTAGGTCCAGATTTGTTTTGGTTCCAACCTGCATTGGAACCAGGATCCTGGTGATCCTGGTTTTGAACTTTTCATCCATTCACAACCAGGACACCTTTGATTCTCATTCATCAGTTTGATCCAATTTCCAGGTTTTGAACTCTGATCAGTTCTTCTTGTTGGTTTTTACATCAAATATGGACTAAATCAAAATATTGAAAAGGAACCTTTGATTCTACAGCCAGATCAGTTCGTCGTATTTATTTATTTTACCTGGGGAGAAAGAACTGGCACTGATCCGGTTCAAATTTGCAGAACCTTCCCTTAAATTGAAGAGGTTCTGATTTTGATTGGTTGCTCCGAAATGACAAACAGCTGGGATGAGGTTGAAGGACACAATCAGGTTCTCTTTCCCGATTCTAGAGAAGACATGGGAATAAAGAAATAGATTGTTAAAAATCAATATATAAAGAAAAATATATAAAAACGTTTATAAATTTAGAAAATTAAGAAAAAAATGGATTAAGCAAAGCAATAAATAAATAAATTATAAATACATTTACAATTAATAAATAATAAATCAATGCATAAACAAATATATCACAATAAATTCTAAGAAAAATTATAAATGAATACAATAAATAAATGCATTATGAAATAATTTTTAAAAATTTTTTAAATGAATCAATTAATCAATACATAATAATAAATACAAAAATGTACAAACAACTTTCATTTTGAATATATTTTCAAATTGACTTTACATTTTAAATCTGCCTGAAAAACTCAATATTCATGTCAGTACATCAATATATTGTCGTTTATTGCATTTAATGATGCACAACACTGTTTTCAGCTTATTACACGTTAAATGTCTCAAGTTATGCTGAACTGAGTCACTGCGGCTGTCAAGTTAATAAATGTGCAGATATGAGTCTGATGGCCTTGAATTGTTTTACTGCAGCAGGTGAAAGATCAGCATCACATCCACTCACGTGTTCATCAGGGAAAGTCTGGTTCTGAACAAGCCCGGTGGACTCATAGCAGCTCTTCATGGACTCGGCTTTCTGGGAACAAACTTCAGATAGAAAACATCACAGATCAGTAGAGCGATGCTGTTCTGGTTTCAGAACTGCAGGTGAATCCAGTTGTTCGTGTCTCTGTTGTGTTTTCTCTGTGGCTCTCCAGCAGGGAGCCACCAGGCGGCACTATAGTGAAACTGTTGCATGGATGAGGCCTGATTCCCTGCAGGTGTTGCTGAACACCTGCAGGGAATCAGGCCTCATCCCACCCTGGATAAAAGGAGCTGGTTGCCTCAGTGTTGACTCATCAGCTTCTCTGCCTCCCATCCTGCAGTTTCACTTCCAGGTGGATTCCCCTCTGATCCTGTGTAAGTCCCACGTCCAACATTTCCTCTTGCTGCCTTTATTTCTTCCAGAAGTCCCCTAATCCATATGATTTCACTTTGTAAATAAACAGCTTTAACTGATTTCTTCTCTCCTGAGTGTCTCTCTGCATGTGGCTCTGAAACTTAAACATATAATCTGAAGCAGGACAGATGAAACAGGCTGAACATGGATTATCTCATGTCTTTATTGCTTTAGTTGTCATTTTTCATCTTCTGTTTAAAATGGTAAAAGTGATTCATCTTTGTCTCCCAGCTGCTGCAGAGCACAGCTGTTCAGAGTGTCTCTGCAATGTGTGATTAAAACATAAGTTTCAGTAATTTGGCTTAAATATGCACAACACAAAATATAGCATCTGAATAAATTGTCCCAGTGTGAAAGTGGACCTCAGATGTGATGAAAGCAGAACTCTGAGCAGAGGAAAGGTGAGAGTCGGGTTAGTTTTTCCACATCAGATCCTTTGAAACGTCTTTGAATGAAGCTTAACTAAAGGTTAAGATTTCAGGTCCTAAATCTCTATTAGGTAGAATATGTTTGCCTGGATCTGCCAATAACATGAGAGCCTCATGATGGGAGCAGCAATCCAACATTACCTGGGTACTTTAATGTTTGGATTTATTTCTAGCAGCAGAACCACAGAGTTCTGGTTCTCTCCCTCACTCAGCTGCTCTCACTTCACTTTTTAATTAAAATATTATTCATGCAGCTCTTGTCAGTCAGGTGTCTCTGCTTCACATTCTCTGAGATTTTCCTAATCCTGGGTTTTCCCTCCTGCTGTAATCCAGCCCTCTGACAGAAACATCCAGTTGTTTCTAAAATTAGATTTCAGCCAACAAGAACAAAAAACCTCATTCACCTTCAGATCTCCAATCTACCATCTGATCTTCTGATCATCAGGATAAAATGGCTCTAAAACATTTTGAAATCTTTTTTTTATTTCACATCTTCTGACCTTTAAATTACATTAAACAGAAAATCCTGAATGAAGTGAACTAAATGTAACAATAAATCTGAAGCTGGATTTGTTTTCATTATTTTAATAAAACTTAAACAGTTTGTAAAGAAAAGGAAGAAAACAAACTTACTGTGTTGAAGTCGTTTGGAGACTGAACCACTTCCTGCTTCTTGGCTCCACCCACTGAGTTCAGCCACACCTTCAGTTTATGAATCCATATTCAGGAGCAGATATAATATCTCTATGATCTGCAGACAGTTTGTCGGATCACTTTTTCTTTTTCATGTAATTTTCAGTTTAGTTCTGTGGATTAGTTTCTTTTTTTTCCTGTAATTATTTGAAGACCTTTTTCTGATCTAGAACATTTTTCATTTTCTAGATCATGAACATGATGAAAACATGAAGATAATAGAAAATGAACTCAAATGTTTTTAAATCTCATGGTTTTTGTTTGAAGGGAAGAATTAAACCTCAACTGGATATAAACACTCAAACAATTACTGATGAAACTAATTTAAAAAGGTTAAATTATAAACTTCATTCAACCAACTGGTCTTCAATTTCCTGAGGGTCTTCCTAAGGGATCAATAAAGTACAAGTCTAAGTTTAAGTCTGGCTTAAATCAAATGACGTCACATTTAAAGGAATTTAAGAAATTAAGAGATTGTTTAATCTCAGCTGTTTGTCTCCCTCTGGTGGTGGAATTATGAAACTGAAACCAGCAACTTTATCCTCTGTAACAACAGTTATCAATGTTATTATGACATGATTATAATAATATTGTAATCATGATAATGTTGATCAGATTGAACCTGCTGCTGCTCCCAGGTGAAACCTGTCACCTGTCCTCTGATTGGTTCTGTTTGCTAGAATTAGCCGCCTGTCTCTTTGAGAAGAGCCTGAAATGTGTAAAGTAAATTTAATTAAAGATTAGATGGGTTCTGATGGATTCTGCTGGGTTCTGATGGATTCTGATGGGTTCTGCTGGGTTCTGATGGATTCTGCTGGGTTCTGATGGGTTCTGATGTTTTCAGGCATCAGTTCTGGGCCAGGTTGGTTTGGATCATTGTTCTGTTCCTCAGTCCTGCATCAGCTGAGTGAACTCTGAGGACAGTCAGGATGTTTCTGCTAAAAGTGTTTTGGGCCAGCAGTGGTTCTGGTTTCGGATCTGTAATGAGGGCCGATTGGGCCCAGAAAACCATCAGACTGTAATTCTAAAGTTCACCAGCAGAGGGCAGTGTTTGTGCTTTGAAAAGCTAAACTGCTTAATTCTGTGATATAAAGTTGTAAACACTGTAAATGATGGAGAAATGTTCTGGATCATTCTGTTCATCTGGTTCTTCCTGGTTCTGTTTGGACCCAGTAGAACCGACCAGGGAGACTTTCACCTCCATATCTGCAGGTAAATATTTGATCTGTGAGCTCAGCCGAGTCAGGAGGTCCGATCAATAAGAACACATCTGGTACTTTAATCTCTCCTGATTCTGTTCTCTCCAAGCTCCTAAAGTAGAGGTGAACCTGACCTCTGACCTCTGACCTGCTCCATCAGAGTGTCTGACTCAGGCCAGCAGGTGTTCTCCATAACCCCCGGCCAGGCACAGGAGGTTCTGTTCGGTCCGGATGACGGTAAACAGGACAGGAAGTTGCATTAAACATCCCACTCATCAGCCAGACTCACACTTTGACCCTGCAGTCGATAAGCTCCCCCTGCCTCCACCAGCAGAGCTCAGACAGACGCTGAGAGCCTTCTGGACGCTGCTGGGTCGGGTTCTGAGGTTCTGGATCATGGTGGAAACCACGTCTAAACGGGCCGCTGTTCTGCTGCTGTTTGCGCTGCACAGCTGTCTGGCCAACAATGGTACCAAGGTTCTGGTAGAAAAAATCTCAGTATTAATCTTTAAATTGTGTCTCTTGATTATTTGATATTTTTCCAGTTTTTCTCAACAGCCAGCTGGCTTCACAGGTTCTGACCCGAAACCGCCGAGCCAATCAGCTGTGGGAGGAGATGAAACCAGGTAACCCAGCAGGTCAACCCGGCTGGACACACACTGTCAAGTTCTTTTTTGATTTGTGCAGCTTCCCCACTTGAGAAGGGATGGATGAATGGATGCAGACTTTTTAAAAACAGGATTTTACTCAAAGGACCAAGCAGTTTTCTTCATTTTTATCCTTCATTTATTTAGTGCATGTCAGGATATTCCACATTTGGTCCAGAGCAGGTAAAA